CCTCCTTCAACGAGGGCCCCGCACCCGAGCAGGCAGCCCAGTGCCATCTGCCTGCGCTGACCCATTGGCTCCCACTCTGGGAAGCTGCTCGTTGTCGGAGTTAATTGGCGGTGCTAATTAGCACATTATTAAAACACCCCTCCCCCCTGTTTCACGCAGGGTATGGTGATGCCAGGCGTGATGCTCACCACACTCACCGTGCCCCCCCCCAGGGAAGCAAAGACCTGTTGCGGTGTGTGGTGGCATGGGCAGGCGGTGTATCCCAGTGACACCAAGTAGAGGTGACAACTTGGTTGTGACACTGGGCTGGTGGCTTTATGGTAATGCCAAGTGCTGGTGGCAACCCCGTGCGTGCAGCTCCCCAGATGGGAAGCGAGCAGAGAAGGGCAGCGTGTTATTAAAACGTGTTGAGTTGTAATAATCTCAGGGGGTGGGATCAACACATGGGAGGAAGCTATTTTAGAAACAGCAACACCACACATCTTGGGGTGGGGAGAAGAATGCCCCCAGCCCCCTGCTTCACTCACCCCTATTTTTCCTCCCTCCCCAGGTTGTCTACTACACCGAGATGCATAAAATATTTGGGGAGCTGACGGCGCAGATCGACCGTCCCGGTTTGAGCGATGAGCAGCGGGAGCGGGAGAACGACGCCAAGCTGAGCGAGCTCAGGGCTTTGTCCATCGTGGCTGATGACTGAGCACCGTGGTGGGATGTGGGTGATGGGGAAAAGGCTGGGGATCCCCCCCAAAGCTCCCCAAGTCCCCCTCCCAGGGATGGACTTGGGGGATTGAGCTGCTCCCTTTACCCCCAGGGCTCTGTCTTCTACCAGGGTAAAGCATCGCAGGGTTGTCCCCCCCCTAAATCCCAGCCATGGATCCAAAGGCAGCAGCTGGATCATCTCTGCCCCACCACAGCCAGGATTTGCTGTAAATAGGGGAATAAATCACCCAATTCAGCTGAAAATAGGGAGCAGGGTGGGTGCTGGTGGCCATTCCCAGGTCCCAACTCACCATCACCCAGCCACACACTGACCCAGCCCTCCTCGTGCCCACCCCAGATCTGGATCCAGCTCAAGCTCTTCATCTTTCTGGGGTCACTCCTGCAGCTGAACCATTTCTCTTGTGCCTTAGAACCCCAATACACCCCTAAAGAGGAGGGGAAAACCATTCAAACTCCATTTTTTGAGGCATCAGGGGAGGGTGGTGATGCTTCCCGTGCTGAGCATCAAGCGATGCCGCGCTCTGAATCCACCCTGATTTTTTATTTTAGCTTATTTTGCACCCAGGAATGGGGCAAACACCAAACCTGGTGCTTTTTTGCCCCCAGGAATGAGGCAAAGCACCTCTGCCCCATAGCTTGAGAGGGAAGAAAAGAGCAATGGGTGCATGGGTGCCCATGGAGGGGTCCAGGGGACCCCAGAGCAGAAGATGATGGGGAGATGCCAAAGGGAAATACAACCCAGGGGAATGTCGGGGGGGCTCTAGAAGGGGAGACAACCATAGCCAGGGTCTTCTCCAATAAATTTTTTGGCAGATCCTCCAATACAGTTTTTATCCGGGTGGGTGCTGAGCTGCTGCCGCCCTCTGCTGCCACCCGCCAGCCATTGCCACAGCCAAGGGAGGGGACAAGCCACCCGGGGGCTGGCAAAGCCCCCAGCAGGACACTCATTCCTCATTTTAAGGGAGATATTCAGGAGCTGAGAAAGGGAAAAGTGGGATCAAACAACCCCTGAAGAGGCGCAGAAAGGAAACAGTTTCAGCAAAACACAAAAAAATACAATTTTACAGACAAATAAAAGGAATTTGATCACGAGATGGCACCTTCCAGCAGATGGAGAGGCTGTGGAGTTGGTCCCCAGCATCTTCCCCTTGGCCCTACCCCAAATCACCATCATTTTGAGCAAGAGCCCTCACTGTCACCCTCCACATCCCAGGACAAGGGGTTGGAGAGCAGTTATGGGGCTGGCACGGTGTGGAGCTGGGAACTGCAGCAAAGAAACCCATTGTGGGCATGGCAGCACCCAGACTGGGCAGCCTGGGGGTTCCTCCATCCTCAAACAAGCTGGTCTGTCCCCAACTTGTGTGTCCAACTTGAAGCATCAAGATGTCTTGGATACAAACACATCAGATTTCCTACCTAAGAGGTTCCCATTAAATGCAACCAACTAGTCAAAGCAAACCCTGTGCATCCCTACAGCTCCACACACCCGGGGTGGGACCCACCTCGAGTTCATCTACTCAACAAGGGCTGGGAGAGACAAGGCTCACAAGGACCATGCCACCATCCATGACCCCACTGTGTGACATCCAGGTGGGCAGGGACTTTGCTTTGTCAACAGGACCAGAGGAAATGTCCCCAAGTTGTGCCCAGGGCAGTTGCGATGGGATGTGAGGAAGAATTTCTTTGCTGAAAGGGTTCTGAGGCATTGGAAGGGGTTGCCCAGGGCAGTGGTGGAGTCCCCATCCCTGGAGGGATTGAAGAGTCGTGTAGACATAGTGCTGAGGGACATGGGTTAGTCGGGGACTTGTCAGTGTTGGGTTCATGGTTGGGCTCAATGAGCTTAAAGGGCTTTTCCAATCCAGGTCATTCTGGGATTCTGTGGTGACCAGCTGGATGCTGGTGCCTCGTTGAAGCAGTCATGAGTCTACAAGAGAGGAGAAGGGGTGATGGGTGGAGTGGGGTGCAGGCTGTGCTGAGAGGTCCCAGGACAAGTGGGGTGGCACCAGGGACATCAGTGACCACATACCTACATCTGCTCACCCTCCTAAGGTGTTTTTTCAGCCCTTTCTTGGCTCCAGGTTCCCAGTCTCCAGTGGTTCTTCCTTCTCCAGCAAGGTCAGCAGCACCTTGTAGCCAAAATCCTGCTGCAGCATCTCCTGGAAGAGCTCAGTCACCATCACAGCCACTTTGAGGAAGGAGAAGAGCACAGGGGACCTGCTTGTCCAGCCTGCCTCAAAGAAGAGCTTCTCCCACCACCTCCTGTACAACCAGCAAGGGAGATGCTTGAGCAGGCAGCCTGCCCATCCTGCCTGGCCATGCAGGGTGGTTCTCCAGGGGTTTGGGCTCCAGTGGGAGCTCGGTGGTGCCTGTGGCAGTGACATGCTGCTCGGGGACCTCCATCTCCTGCTAAAAACCTCCCTGTTTAGGTGGGAGCTGGAAGAGAAAGTGCTGGGAGCTGTCATCCAGAGTGGGACCTCACCTTCTCCAAAACATAGCCCTGTCCAAGCACCTGCAGAAATGAAACCACTTTTGGGGACACCTAAGCTGGCACAGCCCCTGGCATCACCACACCATCATGGGCTTCTCCTCCAGTGATGGAGGCAATGAGGGTCCCTTCTCTGCACAGGGAAGGGGACACAGACCCAAATATCCAGCAGGAAAACCACCACCACCATCACCTCTCACTGGTACCTGGATTTGGCAAACCAGACCCTGCAGCATGTCAGGGAACAGCAGTCAGGGTGTCCTGGGAAGCCCAGCAGAAAGCAGAGAGCTGGACCCTCAGCAAACCCACCCGCTGCTGGCAGGGAGGCTGCAAAGACAGGAGTGATGGGACCAGAGCCAGGACAGGTCATGGGAAGGCTGGTGGCTGTCCCCAGCGAGGTTGTTTGCAGGGACACAGAGTGAAGCTCCAACCTGAGAACATCCCCTGCCCAACCCACACCCAGATCCTGCACATGGATCCAAACCTCCTTCCCCAGCACCCATCACAGAGAACTTCATCTCTCCTCAGCTCTTTCTTCCCAACCACGTCACATGCTGGGTCAGGTTGAAGTAAAATTAAAAACTAAATCAGTTGCCATGGTTACCTGGAGCTGGGATGTTAAATCTGTAACTGCCACACCAGGAGCTGAGCCAGGGCCACCCTCTCCCATGGGTGACACGTGGGGACCTGAGCCTCAACAGACCCTGAGTGGGCACAGAGTGGTCTACAGTGTCCAGGGTAGTCTACAGCCATGGGATGCTCTTGGCCAGCTGCTCCATGACCTGTAGGTACCACACAGCTGGATTAAACCCCACCTGGGCTCTCCTAAATCCACTTTGCTTCTCTTGTGGCTTCATCTTCATCACCAGCCCTGTCACCTAATCCCCAGCAACCTGCTTCTCCATCCATCCCAGCACTGAATCCATCCATCCTTGCTCCTGGAGCTGCTCAGCCAAGCCCATCTCCATGCCATCAGCTCCTCCTGCTGTCCCTGTGCTCCTAAGAGAGGGATTTCACCCATGGAAACTTAGCCCCAACATTCCCAGCAGTGCAAACTCCACTCTCAGCTGGAATCTTGCTCCTGGACAAGCAGGAACATGCTGTGTGCTCTGTGCACCAGGCTGGGCAGGAGAACTCCATCTTGATAAGAGTCAAAATGGATAATTAATAATTTTCTGATACCACCCACGAGATCCCAACGTTACCAGGGAGAGCTGGCAGAAAAGAAAATTAACCCTACAACGTGGTGTGTGCTCCACTGAAGTGCTCCTGGGTGAAGTACATCAGGACTCAGACCTCCAGAAGCAGAGGGATGGGATGTCACCACACAGAGATGCTGGTGGCACTCACCACTTCCAGGTCCAGCCCAGCCTGCACCACACAAATGACCATGAGCAGCAGGACTGTGGGGTCAGGATGGGACCATCCCACTATGGGACTGTTCCCCACCAATGAGCATGGCTGTGTCCTCTCCTCCCCAGGCAGAGATGGGTGGTGAACCTGGTCACATCACAGCATCCTCACTGTCCCACTCCATCCCCACTGCCCCCCTTCCATCCCCAAAGCTCCTCTCCCCTTTTGGGGACAAGACCCTCAGGGGACACAGCTGGTCTTTGCAGATGCCATCCCACAACCAGGTCAGCAGTCAATGCTGATGATGGTGTATGACCAAACCTGAGGGTTTTCTCCCCAAAACTGAGGGAATTAACCCTTGCTGGGACTGCTGAGCCTGGCACACCCCTGGGTCTGCACTTTAATTTGCTTTGCTGGGTGCTGGGGAGTCCCTTTGCTCCCTGGAGTCATTGATAGAGAGCAAACCTGGTGAGATGCCTCCTCCAACTCACCTGGAGGTATCAGGGCCATTGTCTCATAAGCCAGACCTTCCTCCTCCTCCTCCTCACCTTGGCTCTAAAAGCAGAATCAGCATCATCTGGAGCAGCCTCAGCATCCTCCTCGGGGTCAGCCATGGGGATGTGGTTTGGGTACCACAGGTGAGGGGAGAAGGGATGTGGTTTGGGTACCACAGGTGAGGGGTGAAGGCATCCAGCCAGCCCCGGTGGAGATGGAAGAAGCCACAGTGCAGCCAGATGCTGCCAGAGCATCTCCCCAGGGTCACAGAAAGGGCTGGAGGCAGAGAGCAGCACTGAGGGTGCTGAGAGCCAGCAGAGAGCTGGCTGCCCTGAGACTTGGAGAAACCAGAGAGATCCTCTCTGACCACAAATAACCCCCCCAAAAAATCCCAGCATGGCCTGAGCACCCAGCAGGGAG